TGTGGTTTCTCTTTAAGAGTTTATGTTTTCCATGCTGAATATAGTTGTATTTAGAAAAGCAAAATGCAGTTTTGTTTTCTGGTTTTCAGTGCTTGAAGCTTTCAAAGCAAATACTGGGTTAAAATAAAGTCTTTTCCTTTTGAACAGTGTTTAATATCTGCTCGTTTTCCTAAATGTAACAAAAGTACCTTAATCTGAATTTTTGCCTTTTGGCTGAGGAGTTTTTCTATACATCCCAGGAGAGTGTTTTTAATGATGTTTGATAGTGTGTGACAAAGTCTGGCTGGGCAGAAACAGGTTTCATGATGCTTCCTTGGAGCTTGTTTGTTAATAAGCTGAGTTGAATTACATATGCAACATCAGTCTTTGGATTGCATCTGGATTCCTTTGTCCTTAACCTTATGGAAACATCAAATGTGATGATCCTGACACTGGTGCTGATCCAAACTTTTCAGGTCTTAGTGCTTCCATGCAAGTTTTCTTTGCCATGTGCATTGGTTTCTATTGTTGGAGAACATGCTGAATGATTTTTCAAGTTGTAAAAATTTCTCTATTGCAAAACTAGAAATAGGTGAAAATAAGGATCGTGAAGGCCTGAACCCAAAGAAATTGGAGAACATGATTTAATGGGAGGCTGTAAGATAAGTTTTTTTCTTTTTCCCTCCTTATTTTGGTACTTCTCCTGTTTAGTCCATGTACTTTAATTTAAGCAGTCACATGACTGAAGTATTGGATTCAGTGAAATCATTGCTTGTTTTCTTGGCACCACCTGCAGCTGTAACTCCAAATAAATGGAAGGACACTTAGGAATAACTCAGGTACCTGCATGATACTCCTGTTAAATGTCATAGAAACTCAGCGTGTCTGAGAGGGCAACAGATGTGTGAGGACTGTGGCTCTTTTGGAGTAACTCCCTTAAAAAATGAGTGAGTCTATTGCAAACTGGGACTGAGCCTGGAAAGGAAGAAACTGGATGCAAGACTGTGGTTCAGGAAGTGTTTCCTGCTTTACCCTAGGGTGTAGAAGAAAACACCAGGTAAATATGCCTTCACTAATCGGGGTGGGGGAAAGGCAGGTTCAGCCAGGTTTGATGTTCCTATCCATTACAACATACATCCTTTGCCTTCAGCCCAGGGGATGGATTAAGCGAAGGACACTTGGCAGGGAGAGATCTGGGGGAGCTGTGGCTGCTGAGCAGGTCTGTGGTACAGAACAGGTGGCAGTTTCCCTCCTCCCCCTGCCAGGAGAGCGAGTGCTGACTCTGCCGGTGAGACGAGACAGATTTATCAGAGTATCCAAAGAAAGAAGTGTCAGTGTGATCCATGTGTGTCTCCAGGACTCAGCGTGACCTGCATCTTACCACTGTCTAAAATGCTGATGTGGCTGGAGAGCAGTGAAACCTTTGTGCTGCTTTCTGGCACAGATGACATGTGTGAGAGTTGGAATATAAAAAAGCAGAAAGATCAGTCTAGCATGAAACATGCATCAAATCATTTGTGTTAAGAGAAGAATTCCATCTAGGTAATCTATTAGCTCTTACATAAGCAAAGCCAATAAGGTCACTTTATTCCAGGGGAATAACAAGGAAATTTGAAAAGCTGATAAAATTACTCATGCTATTTTTAGTTTCCAGAGGAGGTTACTTCTCTTTACCTATTTTAAAAGGACAACAGAGAAGGTGGGGTTTTTTTTTAACATCCCAAGTTTGATCTCTCTACTATTTATATATATATATATAAGTACCTTATGTTGAGATAGAGGGAAAAAAGCAAATTTCTGGTAGTTTAAAAAATGTGTAAGATATGCTTACTGTGGCTTTATAGTTTGGAATATGTGTGTAAGTCCTAGGAGAAGTCAATTCCAGAATACTGTGCTGGGAAAAACTGGGTAATGCAAGAGAAATCAATGTGTTGTGTGGCATGTGTATGGAATGTATTGAGCTCAAATGGAAAGACAGTTTGGAGACGTGGAAAGAAAGGACTGGGTTTTTATAGAGGTGTGAGTGCAAAAGGAGTCTTTGTAAGAAAACATGTCCTATTTTCAAACTCCAAAGGTCAGACAAGCAGTTTATATGCTATCTGTGCTTTAATTCCTGGCGCTCGAGCATGTATTTCAGTATTTACAGCTGGAGTAGTGGGATCATTTACATACTTCAGATGCAACTGGTGAGACACTGGCCCAGGTTGCCCAGGGAGGCTGTGGCTGCCCCAACCCTGGCAGTGTTCACAGCCAGGTTGGATGAGCCTTGAGCAACCTGCTCTGGTGGGAGGTGTCCCTGCCCAGGGCAGGGGTTGGGGCTGGATGATCTCTAAGGTCCATTCCAACCCCTAAATTCTATGATTCTATGATACTAATCATTAATCCATGAAAAGCAATGACAGTTTTGCTGTTGATTTTAGCCTTGACTTGCTTTTTCTCCAAAGGTTAGATAAATTCAATGTGTGAATGGGCTTGGATTACTCTCTTTCTGTCATCTACATCCTTTGTCTTTTTCTTGAATGTTTTGAAAGTGATTTTATTTTGAGAGATGTTCTGCTGGATTGGTCCCAGCTAAGTAATTGGAGAAGAGCTTCTCAATATGCTTTTATGCACTGTAATTAATTTACTACTGTTCTCACTTTGTGCTTTTGCTCCTGTTATCTCAGGCAATTTGGTAATATGACTGAGCACTCTATATTATCTCCTTGTTTTCATCTGCAGCTTCTGGTTACATTAACCAGATGTTTTGCAGCAATTTTCTCTTACCAAAAAAAAGTCCAGGGATAATTCTTGTGCTAATTGTTGCTGTGATTTAAAGGCAGGAGATGAACACACAATCACTTTGAGTGTTCATTCAAAGTTTGAAATGGCTGGTGAAAATTAAAAGCTTTTATTGATATTGATATTACCAAACTCTTGGCTTTTATTGATAAATTTAAATAAGGTGCTCTGGTGTGATGTGGCTATAAAAAGCCTGAAGAATTCAAAACATCAAAAGATGTGTTGTCGTTGTGTTTTGCAGGGCAGGGGGAGAGGGATGATGCAGTACAGAAACATTAAAAGAGCCCTCATTTTCCTTGTCCTTAACTTCACTGAGTGCTGTGCTAAACTTGAAAGAGCTTTGAAGTTTAATTTTGAGAGTGTAGAGGAGCAAAGATCTGAGGACAGATTGTTTTTATCTTTCAGATTGATTCTGCTGATCTAGTGGCACTAGTTTTGTATGTTTTCCATTTCAGCTTGCCTGAGAAATTGAAGGTCCAGTGCTCACCAGTGGGTCAGTAAATCGCTACTGTCACAGTGTGAGCTGCAGAGTGGGAAAGGCTGAGCTGTGTGACAGAATCAGAGCATCGAAGGCTGTCAGTGATTCTTAAATCACAGGAGCACTGCAACGCAGCTCCTCGTGGGGCACCAAAAATCTGGGGCTGGTCTGCTCTGGGAACAGGGTAGCTCTGGGGAGAATGTAAACATTACGGTCTCTTCCTATTTTTGTGTAAGGAGTGTAGAGCTTGTGACTGTGCTCCTGAACTTCCAGGTTCGTGTCCGAATGTGTTATCTGAATTACTACAGTGCAGGTGTTGGACGACTGTCAGGGACCTCCTGTGGGAGTCGACGTGCTGGAGGGAAGGGATGGGACATCCAGAGGGACCTGGACAGGCTTGAGCAGTGGGTGAAGGTAAATCTCATGGAGTTTAACAGAATGAAGTGC